TCAAATGCCCATCTAAATTTTTTTTTTTGGGGGGTGGGGGGACCGGGGATTGAACTCAGGCCCTTGTGCTTGCCAGGGAAGCGCATATTCCACTGAGCCATCTCCCCGGCCCCCATCTAAAGTTTTAACACTCAAATTTGAATTTTATTTTTTTTTAAATTTGGATTTTATACAGCTTACCTTCAGTAACATTAAAAATTCTGTTCCTTATACTTCCCAACCTCTTCTAATACTATAACAAAATTTCATCATTATACATTGCCTAAAATCATAAACTATTTTAAATATACTACTCTCTTAAATTCTGTGGGCAAATCATACACATAGAATAAGTCAAAGTTAAAATTCTGACTTTTAGACTATAAAAGTCTCTTTAAGTCATGTAGATACAAAAAGTAGATAAAAACTGTTACAATAATACTTTTGGGGGGGGGATACAGGGTAGTGGCACAGTGCCTACCTGGCAAGCACAAGGTCCTGAGTTTGATTTCTAGCATGCCTCCATAGCCATTAATAGTTTTGAAACAGCTATGTGTCTGTCTTTATTGAGGTCTTTATTTCTTCATACAGCTTTGGGTTGTTATCTGGTATCGTTCACTTGTTTAGACTGCTTTAAGCATTTCTTATAGCACAAGTCTACTGCTAGCAAACTGCTTCAGCTTTTGCTTTTATGAGCATCTTAATACCTTCCTCACATTTTTTTTCCTTCTTTGAGACAAGGCCTTGCTATGTAAGGTTGGTCTTGAATTCACTATGTAGCCAACTCATGGTGACCCCCCTGCTCCTAACTCAGCCTCCTGAGTGCTGGGATTACAGGTGTATACCACCACACTGGGCTCTCGCCTTCACATTTGAAGGACAGTTTTGTAGAATGGAGGATTTTTTGTTGACAGTTTTTTTTCTTTTAGTGTTTTGAATATAAGGAAACCAAAGTATTCTGGCCTCTAAAGCTTCTAATATGGTATGTGCTAGTAATCCTACTGAAGGTCTTGTGTGTAGGAAAATATTTCTTGCTGCTTTCAAGAGGCTTTGGCTTTGGGTTTCTTTTCTTTTCTTTCTTTTTTGAGACAGGGTCTCACTAAATAGTCCAGGCTGGTTTTGAACTCTTGGTAATCTTTGTGCCTCAGTATCCTAAGTGCTGGGAATAATAGGGGTGTGCCACCACGGCCTGCTGTCTTTGGTATTTGAAAGTTTTATTATATAATATGTTCAGGATGGGTCTCCTTGAATTCATTTTACTTTAGAGTTCATTGAGTTTCTTAGGTATGTTTTGTTATTCATACATTTGGAAAATTTCTCAGCCATTATTTCTTCAAATGTCCCTTTTGCTCCTTTCTCTTCTCTGGGTCTCACAATTCATGTGTTGATCCACTTGATGATGCCCTGCAGATAAGCTTGACTCTCACCTTTGCTTCTGTTTCCATCTTCAGTAACTTCCCTTGTCTTATCTTCAAGACCACTGTGCTTGTGCCTTCCTTTGAATACTCCCAGTGAAGTTGTCATTTCAGTTATACTTTTTTGGGTCCATAATTTCCTTTTGTTTTCTGTTTTCCTGTGTCTTTGTTGCTATTTCCATTTTGTTCAGACATCATTTTCTTGGCTTTCTCCACAACTTTCTTTAGTGATTTAAACATTGTAAAGACAGTTGTGTTAAAGCAGTTGTCTAGGTTCGCTATCAAGTTTTTTGGGGGGATAGTTTCTGCTGATAATTTTTTAATTT